GCAGCAGGCACAGCTGGACCAGCTCGCACACGCGCCCGCCGGCAGCGCCGCCATGGCCAGCGCGCGCCGCCCACCTGTGGGAGGCCGGGTCGCGACCTCAAACTCGTCGGCGGCGCTGTCGTAGCCGCACAGCACAATGTAGTGTCCCAGGTAGGGGCCGGCCCCCCCTTCCGCGCCTCCTCCGCCTGTGCCCCCTCCTGCTGCCGCCGCCGCCACCGCTGCAGCCGCCGCTGCCGCCGCCGCTGCTGCTGCGGATCCGGTGTCGCCCGGTCGAGCTGCCGAGCTGGCGCCGCCGCTGCCGTCGGCCGCGGCGCCGGCGACGGGACGGGGCGACGGGGCGACGGGGGCGGGGCCATCCGCGGTACCGCGCCCGCTGCTGCCGCCACCAGGCGTGGTACCACTTGAGCTGCTGCCCAGGGTGAGCTTGTCCACCAGGGCGATGACTAGGCAGCTTCCACGCAGCAGCAGGCGGCGCAGTGTGCACAGCGGCACGCTGCGCTGCGCCAGGCCGATGCCCCTGTCCGCCGCTGTCTGCAGGCGGGCGGGGGTGCAGGTGCGGTGGGTAGCAGCTGTGATGGGCAGGGGTGGGGTAGGGCGCAGGCATGCGGACCACCCAGCAGGCGGCGCCAAAAAGGCAATGGCAAGCAGCAGTGCAGGCAGCTGCACGGACCGCCGCCTGGCCACAAGCGGGCGGCCGCACGCGGGCGGTCAAACCCCGGTCAAGCTCCGGTCAAAGCGGGCGGTCAAAGCGGGCGGTCAAACCCGCTCGGTCGTACTTTCCACCCGCCAAAGCACCCACCCGGAACAGGCGCTCCACCCGCGCGCTGTCGTCCTGGATGGTCTCGGCATAGAAGCCCTCGCCGCTGTAGGCCTGCCGGGGCAGCAGGGGCAGCAGGGGAAGGGGGTGCACATGAGCCAGCGGTGAGAGGGTGGCAGGCGTCTCGTGATGCCCCTTGATCACGTGTGCCCCCTGCCCAAGGTCTGCTGACGCGGCCTATCATAGCGGGGTGACTGTAACACAGGGGTGCAGCAGCACGAGCGAGGCGTCCAGCAGCCGGCGCGGCAGCAGCGGGCCGCAGGCCGGATCGGGCAGCAGGCGGCGAGGCAGCAGCAGCCGCACGCCGGCGGGCCGCAGAGCAGCAGCCGGGGCAGGCTGGCGGCGCGGCAGCAGGGCAGCACCCACACGATCGGCCCCCAGCCGCACGCGCAGGAGCCCTGCACCCAGCTGCCGCGCCTGGTGCCGCCGCCAAAAACAAGAAGAGTGGT